CAATCAGAGTTAAGTATATTTAAAGTTGCAAAAACCCCTAATATTTTTTCAGTAACAATGAGAAATGTTATACCATTGTCTAATTATCCGTGTTCTCGCGATATCCTTAGATTTTTTTCGGAAAATTCGGTTTATCTAATTATCCTACGACAATTACATTAAGCGTGTTTATAATTATAAGTGGTAGAGCCATGCTGCAGTTATATTAGTAGTTTAGTTGTAGCACGAATGGGTCGGCTCGACCGGGGAAGGGCCACGCTCTCACAGAATACCAGCGTCAAATAGCAGCTTAATGCTACTGGGTTTCGTATGGTGAGTATAGAAAACCGGAACCCTTTTTACCGGAAAAGAGGCATTCTATCGTAGTCTTCACGGGTGACAACGCATCTGCATTTTGATTTGTAATTGAGGATAAATGTAGATGTCTATGGGCCACAGCAACCACTTACCATCAGGTGGACTGTTTGCTGGTTTGTCAACCTACCCAATAAAAAAAAAACTCTTGGAGTCGGGTGGCTGGTATTATTACCTTTTGCACGTTATTCGTCTATAATAAAAGGGCTCTTTACAATGGACTGTAGATTTATTGCATATAGGCATTGGATTTAAGCCTGTATCTCAGGGAAAAGTGGTTAGAGCTGTCTATTGTACTGGGTGACCTTTTTTACCGCCTGGAAAACAATAGGGCGTAACATGTGAACGCAGTAGAAGCCTATGCCACTGATATGTTACAAAAAATAAAGGCAATTTTTTTAAATAAATTAATTAAAATCTATCGAAATTCAAATCAAATCCACCCTAGCCTGTGACCCTGCGAAGTGACGAGGTCAAAGATGCCTACTAAATTTATTGTTTTATTGCCGTTTATAGTTTTAATAAACTCCCAAAAAACATCAAAGAAACTGATAATATAGACAAATTTAAGAAATTGCTTTCGGGTTTTTTTTTAAAGAAATAAAGCGTAAACAAATATTTTGAAGATAAAACGAATGGTTTTTAGTTAATGTCCGATTTATTTATTATATTTTTATATCTTTATGTTATTAAGAATTAGGTAATTGATAATTAAGATATTAATTAATGTAATTTCTAAACATACCAATTATAATTGAAATTGTAATTTTATTAAAAATTAATATTCATATTGCCAGATGATAATGATAACCAAATATTTGTATGCCGTTTTAGGCGAAACATAGTGTTACGTATCATACCTTTTCCACCAAGTTTGTAACTTTTTACTTATGTTTTACAAATAAATTAATTGATTTGATTTGAAATTTCGATAGATTTTAATTAATTTATGTACTTAACTCTAAATTTTTATTTTTGTAAAATATCAGTACCATAGGCTTCTACTCCGTTCACATGTTACACACTATTTTTTTACAGATGGTAAAAAAGGTCAACCAGTATAATTATTATGTATAAGAGCCGTGGTAGCTAAGGGGCTAAGCGTTCGTCGCATTTTTCACAGTACGCGAGCAACCCGGGTTCGATCCCCGCCGACACTAAAAAAAAATTGTAAATTGCATTTTAAATGCTGATTTACCACGTGCTCGGCGGTGAAGAAAAACATCGTGGGGAAACCTGCATGTCTGAGAAATAAGTAAAAAAAACTCATATCTAATGTAATTATTGTACTGTATAAGTGCACACACTGCTGTTTCGGTTTTAAAGGTACAGGCCAGTATAGGTACAGAACAAGTGGTAAAATTAAAAATTTTGTACAACCGACTTCAATATAAATAAAATGAGAACATCATCAATGTAATTCAAGTCTACCAATAATGCATTATTAAGGATAACTTAAAAACTACTGGTCTGATCTTGATCAAATTTATATAGGACCACACGAGAAGCACCAGCTTACAAATAAAAGAAGAACCTTTAAAATCGGTTCACGTAGAAAAAAGTTCTAAAGACGCCCTAGGTGAAAGTTTGTCGACAAATTGGGCAGTGTATTGAAAATGGGCCAATATAAGAGTGCCCATAACCAATGAGCATGTACCTATGCGTTATATGGATGTGGAGGCGGCGAGAGAGATGTCAGGATTATGCCAAATGGAAGTCTGTAGTCTCTGCCTACCCCTCTGAGTGACAGGTGTGAGTGCTTATGTACGTATGTATGAATTTAAGGTGTAATACTAGGTATTGGCAGTGTAAGAATATCTCCTTACTAATATCATCCCACAGGTGTAAGAGGTGACAGAAGAAAACAAATTAGACTAAAAATAAAAAAACTATAGTTGCCAAACTGCTTGCCAAGTATGGCAACTATCGCACATATCCCTTATGAGGTAATCTATGGGGAGGCCTATGTTCAGCGGTGGAATTTGATAAGACTGTGACAGCAACGGGTAAAAGGAATTAGTCTCATAATGTAGTCCCTGTTAAGTGTAGAAAAAGAGATGTCTCATAAAGCCCTAGACAAATACGTGGTAGAGCTACGCTGCAGCTATATTATTACCAGCGTAAAATAGCAGCTTAATGCTGCTGTGTTTCTTATGGTGAGTGTAGAGAACCGGAGACCCTTTTTACTGGAAAAGAGGCAATCCATCTTAGTCCTCACGAGTGACAATGTATCTGCATTTTGATTTTTAATTGATGATGAATGTAGATGTCGATGGGTCACAGCATCCACTTACCATCAAGTGGTGTGCTTTATCCTTTATTTCCCCCTTTTTTTAACTCTCAAAAAAAAACATTTTCTCCAGAAAACACCGATACAGTCGTGATGCACTTGCAAACTATGTTAAGTATACACACTCACATCTAAGCTTAATAAGCATAAAAAAAAACTTTTTTTCACAATTCTAAGCCAAGTGGTAATGTTGCCTAAGATAGTTAAGCGCACTGACTTAACAAAAGCCTATTCATTCATGTCTTGAAGATCGGATGCAAAGACATGCTGACAACTTATTATGATCTTTCCTGTACGCATGACAAGCAAAGCAACAAACCACAAAGTTTGGATGGTTGGTAAGTCAACAATGAAAGTGTGGAGATTGGCCGTTCCAATGGTGGAAGAGAGGGGTTTGCAAATCCTGCACACACTAAAATGTATACTGTGAAAACCAAAAGGCTGGCTACTTTGCGCCTATGTTCCAGGCTGAAAGATTGATTTTAACCAGATAACAGTATAGAGATAGACAGTGTAATAACAGGCTGTTAGGCATTCCATCTTGGTACTTACAGGTGATAATTCTGTTGTCTTCTGTGCATGAAGTTGTCATGAATAGAATTGAATGGGCTCGAGGAGCCGTTTAAAGAGGATTGTATGTTTTTTTTTGCCATTCCAATTTTATAAAAAAAAGATAATACATCTAACTGAATAGACACAGTAAACAAAAGAATATTGCTGCATTTTAATAATGCCATGTATGGCCTCACTCATAAATCCGAGACAGAACAGTTGTGTAAATAGGAATAAGCCAGTGCACTTGACAGTCTTCGGCTGCGTTACCCCTTACAATCAGGTGGGATAACAGTCAAGAGCTGGCTTAAAGTAGTGAAAAAAAGCAGTACACATCCTAGACATGACAAACCTTACATAGTTTTAGTTCAGTATACAAAATGAAACGCTAAAAACTCACCAAAACCTTCTTGAAGTGTCAATATATACATGCTTCGTTTCCTTCAATGTTGTAGCTTCTTTCTTGTGCTGAAAGTAAAATAAGCTGGCCTCATGTAGAGTACACCAGTATAGACGTCAAACAAGAAACATGAAACATTTGGCGGACTCCGAAGAGTCCTGGGACAAGACAGGAGAGCGGGATGGGATAGGGGAAAGGTAGGGGATGCTGCGAGCAGTCTTCAGTACGACGAAGTGAGACGCCGTCGCACCACCATCTTCACTTAAAGTATACTTTACAAACTAATTATAAAAAACTTGTAAAATTCCAAATATACTCGTTTTTTTTTGTACATCACAGAAAGCTCCTACTCGTCAGGCGACAGCCCGCAGCCGAGATCAACATTTATTATCTGTACAAACATATATATCTTCCAATCGTCAACATTTCAGTTTATGCTCTATCGTATCGTTCAATTTTTAAAATCTACAACTAGAATTAAGGACGTACAACCTCCCAAAAATAGTATTTTTTAAAGCTCTGTTATAGTGAGGTCCGCGCGCGTCTCATGCGCTCACACAAAGTGCCTCTCACTGGGGAAGCCATACGTTTACAAATAAAAATACATTGGTCTCAAGATAAATAAAACGATACGCTCTTGGGGCAGAGCCCCGAGGCCCGGCGTTACGAGCCTCACCACCGACACCGTGTAAAATATAATAACACCTCATTTATATAAAAAGAAATGCGATTTAAGCCTTGCAACGGCAAGCTCCGGCCTTGGTGCAGAGTGAGTACGGGGGCGCGGGCCAGCACGAACACCCCGCCTCGCCTCCCCATTCAGTGTTTTGTATTTTATTCTTTTAACAAACTTAAGTAGCTAACAGTCGAAGGTATAGGATACGTATTTTACGATACAACTCAAACTAGTCCTAGTCCAAAGGCGGAGGAGACGGCGCGGTGCGCGCGTGATGGCAGAAAAATTAAAAATCAGAAGGGCGCCACCGTTTAAGACCGCTTGAGGGTGCAAGGCGCAGGTGGCGAGGGGCAGAGCGCCGGGCTACGCAGGCGTCGCACGCGCCGCGACCGAAGCCCCGCCGGCTCCACATATATTTTTTTGTGGTTTTTCTCGTATTTTGAAAGGGAAACGAGCAGGACTTCGGCGGCGGCGCGGCCGACACAGCGTCTTTACTTAACTACTAAAATTTTCACAAAATAATACCTAACGCCGGAATTTTGTCGCAGAAGGCGGCGCCTCACGAACGCGGCGAGCGGCCCCGAGAGGCGCCGCCCCTCGTGTCGTCACGCGCTTCGCGTTACGAAATAAAAAACTTAGCACGAGAGAGACGACGGCGCAGCCCCCCGACGCCCTAGGACACCGCGGGGCTGCGCTGCCGTGGCACTAACACTAAAAGTCCTGGCGGCTTACGACGCGCTCACGTTGAGAAGTAGCTTGAGTGGCAGAGCGCGGTCGGGTTCTGGACGACATCGGCCTTCGCGGCGCCAGTGCGTGGGCGGCGGCGGCAGCGCTGCGGCCGCGGGGGCGGCGCCCCACTTGCTGGCCGCGTAGCGCTCTTCGCGTCGCTCACGTTCGCGGTCGCGACGCACGCCCACGGCCGGCAGCGGAGTCCGGGAGGCTCGCCTGCGCCCCCGGACCTGCCCCTGTCCTTGGCAATTCATCGCCGCAAGGGTACTCTTAAGATCTCCGTTAACTGTTACACTACGGACAGTTCACTTATCACTTTAGTGGTAGCGATTGCGCTCACAGAGCGCGGTGCGCGACGTTGCACAAGATGGTCGTCGATAGCTGGTTGGAACGACGCGACTTTCGACCCCGCAAATTCGCCGTATCTCGGCCTCGAACCGCTGTCGATCTACGCGGATGACACGTCGAAACACTCACTGATGTGCACTGTGCGGTGGTCTTGCTGCTAGCTTCGGTGGAGGTCGCTCGCGGATGTACGACACAGACGCCACCTTTCCATATTCGCACCTTCACCTCTCGATTTCAACTACGTAACGACGGGGGCGCTCGTGGTATTTATACAACAATGGCGGCTGCGCGATCGACTTGCGCGGTGGGGATTTAAAGCAGGCTATTAATGAAAACTGTAACTACACTTTCTAAAAATTTTTTGTGAACTATAGTAATATAAAAATCTTAATGTCGACGTCAATTAAAAATTTATTCTCCTATTTTACCACCCATGAAATATATATAACTTATTTAATAAATAACGGTACACAATTCAGGAATATATCGCGTAACATACTATCAAAAGACATACAGTCGAATTGTAAGATTCCTTCTTTTTTCGGAGTTGCCTAAAAAGGTAAGATATATCCATAGTATGCATTCAATGCAATTTCTTGTCATATTGTCAATCTTACTTTAAATAGTAAGATTGACGGTTGTCTACTTTTATTACAATAATAAGAAATTTAGTTATGCGCTTTCAAAAATAATGCTGAAGCTGTTTGTAAACAGCTTCAGTATTATTTTTCTGGTTGCAATATTTATCGATAATTATACTACCTAAAATAAAAGTTCTGCTTTTTGATCATTAGAATAATAGCCATAATAATATTATCAGAAGAATGCTTCTACCCATCTCCTATTTAATTTTCCCTCTGTCGTTTCTTAAAGCCTCATTCACATTCAGCCCCAGCCAATGCTCCTCGCGCTGCCGTCAATACTTCGCTAAATACTGCCGTAGCAGGATCGCGAGTAGTGTGTATTTACACTCTGCCCTACCACTCACATCACTTTCGGCTTTCGACTATGGCAGACGTCGAAATAATTACAGCGTCCGCGCTGTGTCTTCTTGCAATACAAAATTATGTTAATAATTTAAAAAGATATCATGTTCAAAAGAAGATAGATAGATAGATAGAAAATTTATTTGCTTAAAAACATGGTACATAAGATGATCAATGACGTGGAACTGACATGTTTTGCCATAATTGGCATACAAAAATGATATGAAATACAGCTGTAGCGGCGCTGTCGTCGCGCCACCAGCACACCGAAACACACCGAAGCCTAAATCGCGCTATTAACTTTCCGAATCATGGACAGTATATATAGTACACAGTATATATACTTACAGTATATATAGTAGACAGTATATATACTTCTCCGAACTATCACTCGGAGTGTCGGCCGCTCCCCGGGTAGAACACCTTGCCCGGTGGGAGATCTCCCCTCTTCCTTCCACGGCCACAGTGGTGACTACCCGACGTGATCTGAACACGCAACCAAACAACCTTCGGAAACTTAAAGCTTCATCATCGTCATTGAATACCTCACCCATTCGCTCCCGAGCAGATATCGTCTGCAGTCTTCATATCCTGCAAGCCATCTAGCTTCACAAGGTTCATCGCAGCACTGGAATAATAATGCTTCCTGTTCCTTCAAGCTACTCTCTGCGCTATACAGTGTTCGGCACGGCTCTGAGCCTTACTGCTCGCCTCTGCTTCACGGCACTCTCGCAGATTACTTGCCTTCTTCTCGACTCACCGCAGACTACAAGGCAATCTCCTGGCACTTGCATTTTTCCTTTTTTTCATTGGGTTCTCTTTTTTTTTTTTTTTTTTGAGCGCCGGGTTTTTTTAAAATATTTTTTTTAAAGTTGGTACAATCATTCTTTTTGAATTCAACTATTATGTACAATTAAATACTTATACAGATCCTTTCTATTTGAATTCTTATACAGTAAATTGTTCATAAATTATTAATTAAATTATTACATTATTGTTACATTAATAATATTAAATATTATATGAGATTAGTTAAGCTATTATTATTTTAATAATTACACTACAGTATAAATTAATTCATAATTTTAATTACAATTTAACTTTTTTAATTTTGTTTCTTTGTTTTGTTTTCTTTCCTTTTTTTGTTTTTTTGGGGCCCTGAATGTGAATACTCACTGTCGCTCGCGCTGCCCGTCCTTTGACTTCTGCATGAAAAACCGACATTTGAGCGATCGTCGGGCAGTGGCAGCGGCAGTGGCAGTGTCAGCGCGAGTAGCCACTGCCATGCCCACTGCCCTGCTCACTTCCCTGCCCAACAGGGCAGAATGTAAATGGGGCATAGAACATCCACGGGATTATATGGAGCATTATTCTGAAAGTGAATATAGCTATGTAGTGGCGGCGCATAACAATTCAATACCCTATGACAATCATGTCATCTCGTGGGTGTCGTAAGAGGTAACAGGTGGATACGGAAAGTAGCTTAAAATATTAAATAACTGAGGTTGATAGCCCGCTGCAAGCGTGCAATATATGTGTGGATTGGACTTGCATTAGTGGATTTGATAGACTGTAACGAATTAATATATGACTAGTTTAAAGAAACACTATTAATAAAATAATTAAAGTAAAAATGTATAAGGCTCTAAATTCCTATCTTATCAATCATAAAGAAATGAACAATATTAGAATGGAAAGATATTATATCAATTATATTATTGTTTATGACGTCATTCGTAATAATAAAACCATTTTTTAATAGTTTTTGTTTATATGTCCATATAAAAGTGCCTTTTTTAATCATTTATCAGTAAAACGAAATAACAAATAACTATCCATAAATTCCAATTTGGATAAATCGTTTTTTTTTAATTGTTCATATTAAATAGGCAAAGGCAATTACAAATTTAAAATTTATAACAATAAAAGGATAATAAACAAAAACAATAATATATTATTATACGTTGCAATCCGATAATGAAATATGATGATCTTGTCAATCTAGTTTTCGCGTACATAGATGTATTTTTGTTTACACCTTATTTATTAGCGGTTGTGAATGGCTAGCTTTAATAGCAGGAGCTATGCCCATCGATAGAAAAAGAAGCAATGAAAACAAGGAGGTTGAGAACATAGTCCGACTAAATGCAAGAGTTCATACAAACAAAGATAATGCTCACGTTACCATGTAACAGGAATTTGTGCGGTTATTACAAATGGCTGCTCGAGTGCTCGATTTTATTGGTACGATAATACATAATATTATACGTAGGTATACGTTATATGATAACAAAACTGTTTTTGTTATTATGTTGAGATAGCAGTTTATCAAGAGTTAGATAATTCTACGATGTGTTTTCATAAAATTGTAAAACGAGAACGTGATGCCTCGACTACACATTTATGACCAAATAACCTTTTCAAATTAGTCGACGTAGGTCATACCTAAATAGGTATTTGGAAATCTGCATAAACATATGTAAAATAAATTTAAATTACCATAAAACTTATTTTATATTATACTTATTTGCTCAGGTATGTACTTAGTTTTAATACCTCAGAATAGAAAAAAGGTAGCTGCTCAGCGGTTTAGTACCGTTCTATGTTAACCTATGATTCTATAGTAATTTATTAAGCCTTTCTAGTTTGTATATAGGTAGCATAGAAACACTAGGTTCGGTAAATACCTACTCTAATCGTAATTCATTTGAATGAATTGCGATCACAGTAATAATTCTTGAGAATTCATGCCACCTTAAACAATACTTGTTTTTACTGCCCTATATCACAGAATAAATAACCTATATATAGACATACTGATAATCAATGTACCTACTCTGTGCTGATAATGACACTTGTGATTTTATTTTTCATTTCATGCCCCACAGCATATCAAGTCTACTGTTGAATATAGCACCCACAGATTCCTAATTTATTCCAATGCAATGATATTTGCCAAAGTTGCCAGACTTAGCAACCCTAGTTTATATTTTGACTTGTTATCGGGATGTGTCTGCCCCTGCCCATTTCTCCCGTTCAATTTTCATCTGTCGAACCTTACAGCCCCTGCGGGTGATATGTGCATTGAATTCTGGTGCTCCACACGGCGTCGAATACCTATTTACAAATTATTTATTTTTATTGAATTTCCTATTACAAAACAATATACAAACCCGTCTGAGTAATAAAGTTTACTTATAAAAAAGAAACATACCTACCCTGTGTAACTCAACTACTAAGACAAATCCAACGATACCCGGATACTCCATAATATATTATGCATGGTATTACATATATTTGTAATATATATATGTTATGTATGTATTACATAATATGTATGTATATGTGTACCTTTGAGGTACATGGCTCTACCACGTAAATAATACCATATAGGTACCTACTATTACGCGGTGGAGCCATGCTGCAGCCATATTGTGGTTGGAGCACGAATGGGTCGGCTCGACCGGGGTAGGATCACGCTCTCACAGAATACCAGCGTAAAATCTGTTTCGTATGGTGAGTGTAGAGAATCGGAGATCCTTTTTACTGGAAACGATTCCATCTCAGTCAGGGGTGACATAACATGTGTATTTTATTTATTTATTTAAATATATACACCATTGATAACATCATTAAACATTGTTACAATCAAAATACTACATCAAAGTAAAAGCACCACATCCAGTAATAATTAAAATAGGTAAATAATAATTTTGAGTCATTAATCTGGCAAGGCAGGTAACAGTAAAGTACAGGTACAGTAGATACAGTAAGTCTTTAAAACATTTTCTTTTAAATTAATACACGTTCGTGGTCGCTTTTTGATTCTTAATTGAAGGTAAATGTAGATGTCAATGGGCCACAGAATCCACTTACCATCAGGTGGACTGTGTGCTCGTTTGTCACCACAGAAATCTGAA